TATCCCCATTTCCACTTCCAGGTTCTCCCCTTACCTCTGTAATTCAGTAATCTGTCTTCCTCTGAGAGTCATGCTATCCTTTCCTACCAGCCAGTCAAAACCCTCTTAGTTGTTGTCTGTAGACCTCCAGGTCATTCTCCTTCCTTCCTCAATGAATTTTATACCTGGCTTACAATTTTTTCTCTCCTCCCTATCTGCTGCCCTCATACTTCAACATTCATATTCATTCTTCTTCAAATATCCTAATCACTCAGTTGTCTAAACTAACTCACCTCACATGGGCTACTCCTCCATCATACCTCGGCCATACACAAAGATGGTCATATCCTCTGTCTTGCTATCACCCACAAATGTACCACCTCCATATTCAAAAATCCTGAAATCCCCATATCCAACTATGAACTCTTGACTTTTCACCTCTCCTTCTATGTCCCCTTACAAAACCCCACTCTTCAGCCATGACTTCCCATCCCTTGATGCCTCAATTCTCTCCCAGGCCATCTCCCCTGAACTAAACACTCTCCTCTCTTCTCCCCATTCTTGACTCCCTGTTGAATTCACCTCTGCACTGTTTTAGTGAGTCCCTAGTCCCTTTATGATATTACTGATTACACTTACTCTTGGATCACTCCCACAATTCATTGCCTTCATTCCTATACATGTGATACTGAACAAAGATGGAAAAAAATCACATAAGCATTCTAACTAGGTTCACTACAAATTTATGTTACACAACCTAAACTGGGTCTTCACTGCTGCTAGGCAACTTAATTTAATAACTCCCTTATCAATTTATCCCACTCTCCATAGTAGCTCTTCTAAACCTTTTCATCCCTCCTCAAACCTATTGTCTCAGCTGAGAATCTTTCCTCCTGTTTATAGACCATATTGAAGCTATTTGCCATAAACTCCCTCTTCTTACCTCTTCCCTATCTCCTATCAGGTGCCTTCTGCCACTCTCTCTTCTTTTACCCCTGTCTCATATGATGAAATAGCCTTCTTACCAAGGCTAACCCCTCTACTTGTTCAAGTGATCCCTTTTGGTCATGTCTCCTCCGATAGATTGCCCCCTGTCATCCCCACACTTTCACTTATTTTCAGTCTCTCCTTGTCTACTGCTTCATTTCCTAGTGCATACAAACATGCTCCTGTCTCCCCTATCCTGGAAAAAAAAAACCCTCACTTGATCTTTCCATCTCTGCTATTATCCTATATTTCTTCTGCCCTTTGTAGCTAAACTCCTCAAAAGGGCCATCTACAATAGATGCCTCCACTTTTTCTCCTCTCTTCTCTTCCCTCTCTTCTTAACCCCTTATAATCAGGCTTTCAGCCTCGTCATACCACTGACACTGCTCTCTCTAAAGTTACTAATAATGTCTTAGTTGCCAAATCCAATGGCATTTTCTCTGTCTTCATTCTCTTCAGCCTCTCTGCAGCCTTTGACACTGTTGATCACCCTTTCCTCCTTGATATTCATATCTCTCTAAGCTTTCAGGACACCGCACTGTCCTGGTTCTCCTCCTATATATCTGACCACCCCTTCTCAGTGTCCTTTGCTGGACCTTTATCCATATCATGCCTGCTAACCATAGGTATCCCTCAAGGTTCTGTCCTGGGCCCTTTTCTCTTCTATGTTACACTTGGTGGTCTCATCAGCTCCAATGGACCTAATTGCCATCTATATGCTGATGATTCTCAAATCTACCTATCCTACCCCAGAATTTCTGCTGACCCGCAATCTCATATTTCCAACTATCTTTCAGACATCTCGAACTGTATATCCAGTAGACATCTTAAACTCAATATGTCCAAAACAGAACTCACTTCCCCCTAAACTATTCCCCACTCTACCTTCCTTATTACTGTAGAGGACAACACCATCCTCCCAGTCCCCCAGGTTCTCAACCTAGGAATCATCCTGGACTACTTACTTTCATCCCCATATCCAAGCTGTTACCAAGACCTGTCAATTTCACTTTTGCAACATCTCTTGAATACACCTCCTTCTCTCCTCTGGCATTGCCAGCACTCTAGAGCAGGCCCTTATCACCATCGGCCTGTTGGTGGATCTGCCTGCCTCAACTCTCTCCCCACTCCAGTCTTTCTTCCATTCAGCCACTAACGTGATTTTCCTAAAATGCAGGTTCAATCATAGTACCTCCTTACTCAGTAAACTCCAGTGGCTTCCTATTACCTTCAGGAGCAAATACAAAATGCACTCTTTGACATCCAAACCCCTTCATAACATTGTCCCCTCCTACTTTTCCAGCTTTCTGAGGACCCTTCCTAAAATTCAGTGTTTCTCTTTTCCTCAGTACCCAGCCATACTACCCCCACATATCTATAATGGTATCACAATTCAGGCCAATTATGACCAGCTTCATGCTTTCTTTTTCCTAGACATACTGAGCTTACTGCTACTTGCTTCACTGCTATCCTTGAACATGGTGCTGACAATTCATCATAAAACGATTTATTTTTCCTAAGAACAAAATTTTGACATACCAGTCATAGATTTGAGATAAAAGGGCTTTCTTCTAAATCCTAGATTGTATACCTCCACCTAGTAGGCATTCATTACAGGGATTCAAAAAATAAAACTACTGCTCTTACTCTAAGTTTACAGTTTAGTAAGGGAGCTGAAACATGTATGAAAGTAACTATAATACAAGAAATCAGTAATAATCCAAGTAATCAGAGATTAGCAGTGTTGTGGGAATTCAGCTGAGAAAGACGCAAAAAAAGCTTCAGAAGATTGCATTTGAACTGGACCTTAAAGAATGGGTAGGAACCATGGCTATTCAAAGCTAGGAGAAAAGGCATTCCAGAAACAGATGTGAGTAAAAGGAGGCAAAAATGTTTGGAATCCATTTCTAGAATGGCAAGCACTCCAGTTTGGTTAATGTTTGGGATGAACAAAGATAAGTATTGTAAGATTAATTTGTAAAGACAATTTGAAGTTCAAGCCAAGACATTGAGAAAGAAGTGTTCTTAGGGGAAGAAAAGAGAGTTTCCCTTCTCTCCCTTTCCTCCATTCCCCTCTCCATCCAATTTACTATGTCATTGGAAGGACCAAACCAGTAGAAGAAAAAGTATCTAATCAGGAGTTGAGAGAGATTCACTAAAGACAAGCATAGATAAATATGAATGCACTCAGGGGAGGAAGCAATTTAAAGAATCATGAGCCCTTTTGGGATACCCTGCATATGTGTGATTTGTTTAGTAAGTCATCTCACTAACATGCATTCACATTACATACTATGAACAATTAATGAATAGCGAGTTTAGATGTCGATAAAATTCAGACTCAACATTTTCGTGTTGTGCCTTCCCTACGCTTCCCGAAGCACAGATGCTGCACTGGGGTGCTCACTTGGATCTTCTCTTCATCGGGTTGTCCCCAGTCGCAGCACCTTCTTCCAGGACTTGTTGCTACCATAATCTATTCCTCTTCTTATCTCTGCTGCCTCCCATTCCATAACTCATCCCCTCAGGACCAGGTTCTCCCTGAATTCCAATACATATTCAAGTAACTATTTCATGGAAAGGGGGACAGACGGTGGGGTGAGAGGGGATGGAAGGGGCAATGTTACTTAATGAACTACATGCAGGCCCACCTATAATAACCTAAAATATTTCCTTGTATATCTTTTATTCATCTATGTATGATTGAAAATTATTATTCTATCAGGTCATGACTGACAACAAGATAGGTAAGCCAGAATAATCTTTTTGGTAATCTGGTTATACCTAGGGAACACAGGTTATACCAAGAGGCAACATGGTATGGTGGATAGGATGACAGACTTGCAGATAACCTACTAAAACCAAGTAGGATGTGCCAAAGCTCCTCCCTCCAGTACCCGGGCCACATATGTGTATTATAACAAGGGTTTTCTGAAGAGAGTAAATATTTTGTCTTTCTATTGTATTGTGTTGTATTTTTTAATGTTGTTTTTAATTTATAGAAAAACATTTCCATAATGTAGTACAATAAAAAAAGATGATTGTACATGAAACTACCAATCTACTATGCACAACTTGCCGTTACTTTCAAATATACGACAAAATTATCATGTAAATTTTTTTCTTTTTTTCTTCCCTTTTCCCCTCCTGCCCTAGAGATGGCTACCATTAGACATAAATAGGTGTGTGTGTATATATATACATACATACACACACACACACACATATATATATACATACATACACATATATATACATATATGTAAAATTATTCTATACATACCTCTGTGTATCAATTCTTTCTCTGGATGCAGATAGTATCTTTCTTCATATGTCCTTTATAGTTAATTTGGGTATTATGATAGACAAAATAGCTTATTTGTTCAAAGTCATTCCTAAAACAATAAAACAATATTGCTATTACTATATTCAATGTTCTCTTGGTTCTGCTTTTAGCTCTTCATTATTTCATGCAAGTTTTTCCATGTTTTTTCTAAAATCATTAAGCTCATCATTTCTTATAGCATAGCAGTATTCCATCACAATCATATATTGTGTTGTATTAATATATATAAATTTATAAATCAAAAATAAAAGAAAATGAGCCATGAAATTGACATAAAATCTCTTCTATATGTAAAAGCACTCAAGTTAATAGTCTTAAGAATAAACAAAAATAGCTCTTATCCCTTAAGATACCTTTGTCTTAAGCTATGTCCCCTCTAGGATTTTCCTTCCTTACCTGACCCTTAAATCAAAATGGAAACTAGATAATTGGTTCAAGTGGGCATTCTCATCACAGAAAGAACAGTCATAACCTAAAAATATTCACTCTACCCAAAGGCTATTTCAGAACTCTTATCATGATTGATATATACTTAGAGAACCATCTATCAGGAAAACAAGTTTACTGGTAAGTAAGTAGTATTTTTCAAGTATCATATGTAGTTTAGAAGTTCTATGAGCCTAATTTGGGTGTCCTGTGGACTCATGTTTCCTTCAATAGAAAGTAATCTATAACTTTTCCATCATAGTGGTAATAATGGCGAATTCCTCCATTAAAACTTTGGATAATCTATTTCTGATATTTCCTAATCACAACTTGGGGCAATCTATCAGTGGATTTTATGAAAACTACAAAGCCCAGAAATACTGTACCTCTGTTGCTGCTAGAGATTGTGAAGAGAAAGGTGAGTATTCAAGCTCAAGTAACAGTTTCTTTTCTCCAGCCTTTAATAACTGAAGTAAAGTGTCATTAAGACCACTGTCAGTACATAAATTATTTCCCCCTCATGGAGACTCTCTGTGAAGCAATTTAAGACCTCAAGGAAGATGTAAAGGACAAATGCTTTAGAGGTGTAACTAGCAGTTTGGTCTCCAGAAAGTTAATTACAGGGGCAGCTAGGTGGCGCAATGGATAGAGCACTGGCCCTGAAGTCAGGAGGACCTGAGTTCAAATGTGGCCTCAGACCAAACACTTGACACTTGCTAGCTGTGTGACCCTGGGCAAGTCACTTAACCCCAATTGCCTACAAAAAACAAACAAAACAAAACCAAAAAAAAAAAAGTAAATTACATTGATCCTTTCAGAACAAGAGGACCCTGCTGAATAGGAATAGGGTCATGGGGCTCAGTGTCTGATCTAACATAAAGCAAGCAGTTAAACTCTGTGTCAAAGGGGGAAGGTAGTTTACAGATACCTTAGCCTCTTTAATCCATTGAAAATCTTAAGATTGTGACTCATAAACTGAATATTTTAGAATAGAAAAAGAATAAGAACTTAATGGGCCGTTAAGCCATCAACAATTAACTTAGGTTTAATTCATGTTCTTAGGGACTAGCTAATTGTCCCAAGAGCTCCAGCTTTGTGGTGTTCCCAGGGTCTAGTTTCTGTTAGTAGTGTTGCCTTAATAGTATGAAGATGGATGATAGTAATTGATTGAAACCCTAAAACAAACGATTTTAAGGCAGCCTGAAATAAATTAGGCTAGTCCTAAAATTTTGGTAATGTTGGAGAAAAGGGCAAGGAAGTCTTCATCTCAAACAGAAACCCTGGTTAAAATCTTGTCTTGTTCACTAAAAACTCCACATTGTGGCCTCTAACTGTTTTTTCAGTAAAGATAGTATGGAGGTTGAATTAGCCCAGCTCTATGGAGCACCTGCCTACACATTCAAGTAACTATGTCATGAAAAGGGGGACAGAGGGTGGGGTGAGAGGGGATGGAAAAGGCTTATGGACAATGTTACTTAATGAACTATATGCAAGCCTACCTTTAATAACCTAAAATATTTCCTTGTATATCTTTTATTCATCTATGTATGATTGAAAATTATTATTCTATCAGGTCATGAGTGACAACAAGATAGGTAATCTAGAATAATCTTTTTGGTAATCTGGTTATACCTAGGGAACCTAGGTTATACCTAGAGGCAACATGGTATGGTGGATAGGATGATAGACTTGGAGTCCAGAAGACCGGATTTCAAATTCTTCCTCAGAAACTTAAGAGCTATGTCTATTTTGACAAGACATTTAACCTCTCTGGTTCCTCATCTGTAAAATGAGGAGATTGGGCTCAATGTCCTTTAAAATCTATTCCATCTCTAAAGCTATGATTCTGTGATTTGTTGATACATATTGAAGGTATGAACATTAAGTGTTCAGTCCGTGTAGGGACAAGTACATGAATACCTAAGTCCAGGTCAGACACCAGTTAATTAGCAAAAGACGAGGGAAGCAAGCAAGCAGCATGATTCCAATAAACTAAGTATGCAGTTATTAAGCACCTGCAGTATTCCAGGCACTGTAATAGGTGCTGGGGATATAAGGACAAAAATTAAATTCTCCCTGCCCTCAAGTAGTTTATATTCTAATATGGGTAATAACATGTATACATATAAGTACATATTAAATATATATACAAGATACAGGTTAATTTGGAGAGGAAATGGCACTAGGAATTAGGAAATCAAGAAAGGCTTCATGTAAAATCAAGAGGTTGAACTGAGTTTGGAAAGATAAAAGAGATTTTAAGAGGCAGAGGTGAGCCATTCATTTTTTAGGATTAGATTATTTAGTTTCCAATTATTTTTAGTCCATCTTTCAGTGGCCCTTTTATTACATATAGTTTTTATTACATCATGATCTGAAAAGGATGCATTTAATATTTCTGCCTTTCTGATTGGATTGTGAGGTTTTTATGCCCTAGTACATGGTCAATTTTTGTGTATGTGCTATGTACCACCAAGAAAAAAGTATATTCGTTTCTATCCCCATTCAATTTTCTCCAGAGGTCTACCATACTTAACTTTTCTAATATTCTGTTCACCTCCTTAACTTCTTTCTTGTTTATTTTGTGGTTAGATTTATCTAGTTCAGAGAGGGGGAGGTTGAGGTCCCCCACTAATATAGTTTTGCTGTCTATTTCTTCCTGTAACTCCCTGAACTTCTCTAAAAATTTGGATGCTATACTATTTGGTGCATATATGTTTACTAATGATATTACTTCATTGTCTATGGTGCCTTTTAGCAGGATGTAGTTTCCTTCCTTATCTGTTTTGATAAGATCTATTTTTGCTTTTGTTTCATCTGAGATCAGGATTGCTACCCCTACTTTTTTTACTTCAGCTGAAGCATAATATATTCTACTCCAGCCTTTTACCTTTACCCTGTGTGTATCCCTCTGTTTCAAATGTGTTTCCTGTAAACAACATATTGCAGGATTATGGTTTTTAAACCATTCTGCTTCCATTTTATGGGGGGAGTTCATCCCATTCACATTCACAGTTATGATTACTATCTGTGTCTTTCTCTCCATCTTATTTCCCCCCATTTATGCTTTTCTTTCTCCTTTCTTTCTTTCCCTCCTTACTAGTGCTTTGCCTTTGACTGCCCGCCTCCCTTAGTCCCACCTCCCTTCTATTAGCCCCCTCCTTTTTCTTCCTCTTTACCCTTACTACTTCTTCCCTCCCTTCTATCCCTCCTCCCTTTTCTTTCCCCTTTTCCCTCCTACTGCCTATAGGACATGTTAGATTTCTATATTTAATGGATTATGTTATTCCCTTCTTGAGCCAAATCCAATGAGAGTAAAGTTCAAACAATGCTCATCTCCCTCCCTTCTTTCCCTCTACTGTAAGAGGTTTTTGTGCCTTTTACTGTAACATGATTTACCCTTGTCTGCTTCCTCCTTTCCTTTTCTCCCAGTACATTCCCTTAGTTAGATCAGATTAATCCACTTACATAGATCCATTTAACCCACTTAATTAGATTTTTTTCATCATTACAACTTATACCCACCCCCTCTATGTATACTCCTTTAAAGTGGTGTGATAACAGTACAATGCTCAAGAGTGTCATCTTTCCTTGTAGGGATGTAAACAGTTTGCGCTTATTAATAACATGTTGTTTTTTTCTCTCCCATTTACCTTTTTATGTCTCTCTTCAGTCTTGTATTTGAAGATCAAATTTTCTGTTGAGCTCTGGTCTTTTTATCAGGACGGTTTGGAAGTCCCCTATTTTGTTGAATGTCCATCTGTTCCCCTGAAAGATAATGCTCATTTTCACTGGGTAGTTGATCCTTGGTTGTAATCCAAGCTCCTTTGCCTTACAGAATATCATATTCCACGCCCTACAATCTTTTAATGTAGAAGCTGCAAGGTCCTGCATAATCCTAACTGTGGTTCCATGATATCTAAATTGTTTCTTTCTGGCTGCTTGCAGTATTTTCTCTTTAGAATTTAGCTACTATATTCCTTGGTATTTTCAATTTGAGATCTCTTTCAGGAGGTAATCATTAGATTCTTTCTATGGCTATTTTACCCTCTGGTTCTAGGACCTTAGGGCAGTTTTCCTTCATGATTTCCTGAAAGATAAAGAGGGAGAAGTGAGGAGAGAATGCATTCCAGGCATGAGGTGTAGCCAAGGCTAGAACTGTAAAAGTCATACAAGAAACAGCAAGAAAGGCTAAGGGCTAATTTGGACGCTACAGTTCATAAAAGACTAGTCAGTGTGACCGAGGCAGTGGGAGAGGGATCAGGCCAAGAAATGATTGTTACAGGCTGGATACCTGTGGAAGACAAAAAAACATGAACCCAAGCATGGAGAGACTGACCAACCAAGGTCAGGAACCCTGGCTTGAAGAGGCCTAAGACAGAAGCTAAAAACCCGAGATAAAAAGCAACTGGGGGGGCAGCAAGGTAGCGTAGTAGGTAGAGCACTGGCCCTGAAGTCAGGAGGACCCAAGTTCAAATCCGGCCTCAGACCAAACACTTGATACTTAGTAACTGTATGACTCTGGGCAAGTCACTTAACCCCAATTGCCTAAAAAAATAAAAGCAACCTGGGGATTCAGTGCCATCAAGAAGAGTATCATTAGGTTAAACAAGGAGCTCTAGCAACAGTGTTATCACCCCAGAGAACACTTAGCTTCTGTTGCTTTTTTTATGCTACCTGCTCAATGAGGGTGGCAGATGGCTGTCAAACACATATGATTAGGCAGAAATGTCACCTGCTTTAGATTTTGAGGGAAGCAAAGACCTAGGCTCCAAGGGTGGGGAACCTTTGGCCTCGAGGCCACATATGGCCATCTAGATCCTTAAATGCAGCCTTTTGACTGAGTCCAAGTTTTATAGAACAAATCTTTTTATTAAGAGGCCACACCTGAGGACCCAGAGGGCCACATGTGGCCTCAAGGCTGCAGGTTCCCCAACCCTGGCCTAGACTACCTATAAAGTTATAAAAATTGTTGAGAAATTTATCTTCACTCTTTGCCCCAAACAGTGGCATTCCATTCCCCTACTTCATTTTTTTGCGGTCTGAGTATTTGAGACCCCTTAAAGACTGAAGTACAGGACGGGGTCGTCTGGAATGAATTCACAGACTCAAACATTCTTTAAGTCAAGGTGGCAAAGATTTATTGTTAAGTTTTTCAGCAGGCAAGGATTCTTAAGGAACCTGCGACCTTAGAGGGGTACAGTTAAAGTTTATATAGTATAAAATATAATAAAACGTGTCAAATATGCTAACTAGGTGATTTAGGGTGGGATTAGGGAGTGGTTAAGGAGTGGTCAGTTCTTAAAGAAACATGCACTTCTTGTACCTACTGCACAGGCATTTTACCCAGAGTTTACTAGGAAACGCCCACAAGGCGGGGCCACATGGAGGTGTGGTTTTAGGCCTGCTATGTCACTAAGTTATCTAGAGTTCAAGGATAACTGAGAGTTGTCCAGTCTGCCACCAGTCAATGTCTTGTTTGACAAGATAGATGTAGGGAGTATACATATGTCTTAAGTCTAGAATACAGATAATGAGGAGTCCAGGATGTAGATAATGAGGTAGGGTGGTAGTATAGATAGTCCAGTGGGTAAGAATATCTTTATGACCCAGTGCAAATCCAGTTCAAACTAATAATTCCTTTGTAACTGCACCAGGGAGAGAGATAAGGGTCTTGCTGGGGCCCACTCATGAGTAATTGCTAGGCACAGTGTCCTTGGGCTGGGGAGAAACTGCCGGGGATAGTGTTTCTGAGGCTAGGGAGAAATTGGGGTCCAAGTACAAGCACCCAAACACAAGCACCCAAGCACCCCATCAAGTTAACCAGCAAATTTTGTGTACATATGTGGATACATACATATATCTAAAATGTCTTAAGTTATATTCTAATACAGAGATGTCAGGCAACTGGCAGCAACACTACTAAGTGTTACCCAAGCCAGATTAAAATATAATTGGAAAACATTTAACTAAATAAATAAAAATGCAATAAAACATAGATAACATCACATTTTAAAACTAAGTCAGTATGTGACCTGCAGGGATCTTTATGTACAGCTTAGTGGCCTTTTCTACTTTAACAGCACTGTTCTCTGTCACATATACCCCAAAGGCCTTTAAAAGGTTTCCCACTCTTCTCATAAGCTATGTCTCCTGTAGCATTTTTTTCCTTACCTGATCCTTGAACAGAGTTGGAAATTGTATAAATGGTGCCTGTTATTTTTCTCATCACAAGAGAGTGGGTCAATATCCTTTCACCTGAAAGGTTCAGAAAGAATTTGTTCCTAATCATTTATAATTAATGTGATTAAGTTTCATTATCTCTGACTTTAGAATTGTCTCAATCCTTTTATAGCTGTTTTATGGGACTTAGAGGTTTCCACAGAAAAGGTAGTCAGTGAGACAACCGCCTTTAATTGGCACATTTTAACTCTCATAATGGAAGCAAGGGAAGTTGAGGCAAGCATCACAGATGCTAGAAAGGAAATAACCAGATCTCTGGAAGAACAGGATGTATCCATGACTCAGTCAGGAGTCCCAGATATTAAGGAGTAAGATCCAGGACTTTTTTTTTAATGTGTACCTGTATCTGTGTGTAAATGGGTGAGAAAGATATGTGGTGATTAAACTGTACATAGCACCAGGAAAAACTATTGACATTGATAACTCGTTATAGTAACCAAACAAGAGAAAAACTGAAAATTAGATTATATTTAAGTTAATTGTTTACCATTTGTCTTACAACTATGTAATACCACAGCAAAGATAATGATCAAAATTTACATTTATGTTGCATTTTAAGATTTGTAAAGCATTTTCCTCTTAACAGCCCCATGAGGTAGTTAGTGTAAATATTGTCATTATTACCCTCATGCTGAGGGGTTAAGCTAATTGCCTGTGACATATATCTGAGGTAGAATAAAAAGACCTGCCCAGTCTCCAAGTCAAGCACATTTATCACTATGCCATACTATCATTTTATTAAATATGCTCTTGACATTTTTTCCTTTGTTAGACTATCATGCTAAATGTTGTCCAATCTTCCATGTTTATTATAGCTCATGTAGCATGATCATCACAACTTTAAAAAATTAAAGGAAACATTTGTGATAAAAGAACCTTTCCAAATAGAGTAGATAAGAAAGAAAGAAATCAGATCACCCCATAATGAGTACATCTCTTTTTGTTATCCTCAGGTATTAACTATGAGACGAATATTTATTCATGGATGGGTCATGGGATTGGAAAATATATTGCCTCAATGGCTATCTCAGGCCTCATTTTCCTTCTCATGCTTCTTCTTATTGAGAGCCAAGTCTGGAAGTTGAGAAATAAATTGAGTCGCTATATATTCTTTCGATGCTACACAAATTGGTATAAGGTAAGTGACTAAGCATGTTATTTAGGAATATAACATTTTCTGTAAGATTTCTCACAGAACATGGAATTTTTCTCCCATTGTACTGGCACCTGTATGGTATCTGTTAGCTGCCATCAAGTGGAAGGAGAGACTGACACATGTCCCAGCAGTCAGGGATTTCTCCGAGTAATCAAAATACAACTGTGATACTTTATAGTATCATAAAATCATTTCTTTAGAGCTGGGCAGGGACCTTGAAGGCCACAGTATAAACCCCTCATTTTTCAGATGAAGGAACAGAGGCAAAGTAAGTGACCAAGGCAAGAATTGAACCTAGGTCCTCCAACTCCAAATCCATTGACCTTTTTTATGCATTCAAATAGACATAATACTGACAAAAAATAATGTTCATAGTTTAAAATAAAACATATATATATAGACATATTAAGCTGACAATTTTCTGTCCTTCACTCCCTAGACTAGTTTCTTTAGCTTTATTCTAGTTAATGGATTTGCTAAATTACTTTTGCCTTATATAACTCTGTAACTGTCTGAACTTTTGTCTCAGAGTAATACAACATCTCATGTACCGCTTTTTTTGCCAGGGCAGGGAGTGGAGTGGGGGGAGAGTGTGGGACAGAGGAAGAATATGAGGAAGGACTTTAGACTTCTATTGCTTAACTTCTTACTTCCATGATCTACGATATCATCATCATGGGTACTCCCTCCTTTAATATAGGTCACAACCTCTCTATGACTTTGTTTCTATGACTGACAGATTTCATTTCCTGGCTGTGAACTTTCTGGTAATGAAATGAGCCTCTATAAACTTAGCTAAGCTGGTCCACAGTGTCTATCACTGTGTATGGGTACTGTTCAGGCTTGTACTTTAATGACAGCTATAAGTAAATGATAAATGCCACTGATACTACCCAGGAGGAATAAATTATTTAGAGTTTCAGTAAGCAGTAAACCAAAAGGAAAAGTAGGCTTCTAAGGGGGAACAGAAAACAGAAAAAGAAGTAACAGTAAGTTCAGTACAACCTGAAAAAACTTGAAAATTCTGACTGCTCAGGTAGCCAATAACTAGGAGTGTAACTCTAGTGGGACTGGGGATAGAAATGGGAGAACCAGAAAGATCTCCTGCTTGAGGACAGCTCCTCCTAGATTAGGGGTATAATCAAGAAGTTTAAATATAAAGCAGATTTCTTAGGGATTCAGGGTCAAAGTATAATGGACAATGGCCCTTATGTTAGAGACCTAGCTTGGGAAAGTAATGGGGAAAAATGGCTGGGCAAAGGTATCTAGAAACTAATAAATTCTTGCTAAGTGCCTACTAGTTACTGTGGGGAATATGAAAAAAAATTGACAAAAACCTAGCACCAGTCCTTGAAGAACATACAGCTATAACCCAACAGAAGCTGAGATAATCTTTTGGGAGAAGACAATAAAAATAACTCTTTCATAGCACTTTAAGGTTTATAAAGGACTTTCATGACAACAACCTTGTGAAGTAGATAGTAAAGTTTTACAGATGAGGAAACTGAGGCCCAGAGAAGTAATATATCCAGGAACAACCAACCATCTAAACCCATGGCTTACACTCCTTCCACATAAAACAATAAAAGGCAGTCTGTAATTAAGTGCTCATCTGTGTGGTATAGAATATAAGTGCTATAGAGTGAAAGGGAACTTCAGTGAGGCCTCCACATGCAAGAGATCCAAGCGAAACTTCTCTCATAAGATAATGGTCTCAGTATATAACTCTGTGTACCTGTAATTGTCTTTGCTTTGTATCTTCATTGTATCCTCATGCCCATAGTATTTTTTATTGCTATCTAAACACCAAGACTAGCACCTAATGCTTATGACTTGTTATGAGGAATAAAGAAGATAAGCCACAGTGAGGAATATGACAACCAAAGAGAGCCTGGGTCCATTGTCCATATTGTCCAAGGCCATTCTTTCAGAAGCCAAGCTTTGTGCTCAAAGCCTTGATTGGCTGAACATCTTTCATCAAAATGCCTTTCCACAAAAGCGAACATGAGTCTTGTTTGACACAGAAGGAAGTGGGCAAAGAGACATGTAATGCTCTAGGTCTGTGGTACCCCAGGAAGGAGAAAAATAGAAGATATCACAGAAGAATTGACCTTGGTCTGTTTTCTCACTCCTTTGGACCAGCATGGTCACTCACTCGTGTGTATTTTATTACCCAACATTCCCTGAACTTCCATGGGGTATATGATATAACAATAGAGCCTGTAAAATCAAACCATGCACTTAATCAAGGCTTATTGATCCATTTAAATATAAAGCTTATTTCTTATAATCATCCATTACCTAGGCAGGAAAGAGAACTTTCCTTTGAGATTCATTCTAAATTATGGAGCTCACTGGAGCTCTAGGGCCAAACCAGTAAAGAAGATTTTTCCAAATTCCTCCTACTTCAGTTCACCATTCTCAGAGCTCCAGGTCATTTTGTTATTTTTATAAAAAATTATTAGTGTGCCTGTAATTTCCTATAAAGTTTCCATTTCTAGCAGAATAGGTATTCCTTGGTCAAGTCAGCATGAGCCCACTTTCCAGACCTGGAGGACAATTTATTTTAAACCTCAGATCTGAGGTGATAGATGGGAAGTCTTCCTTAAAGCCTTTTCAGAGTTTCCCATCATCAGCAGCATTAACAACAAGTGTTTATTAAGCTCTTATTATGTGCAAGATATTATGCTAATTATTTAGGATACATAAAAAGGTAAAAACATAATCTCTGTCTTCAAGGAAATCAATTCTAAAGGGAGAGACAACATGCAAACAATTATGTAAAAATGTTGGAGGGGATGTGGGAAAGATGAGACAGGAGGCATAAGGTGGAATTTGAGCTGAGTCTTGGAGGAAGCCAGAGAAACTAAAAGGAGGAAAGGAGGAGGGATAGTATTCCAAGCATGAAGAGAATAGTCAGTGAAAAGATAGGGAGCCAGGAGATGAGTGTTGTGGGTGAGGAAAAACAAAAAAACCAGTGTTGCTGGATAAGGGAATATGTGAAAAAGAGCAAAGTGTATGAACACTGGAAAAGTAGGAAGGGCCCAAGTTGTGAAGGACTTTAAAAGTCAAACAGGATTTTATATTTAATCCTAGAGGTAACAGAGAGCCACTGAAGTTTACTGGGTTGAGAAGTTATGGTCTTTCCTAAAGGAAGATCACAATTGGCAGCTGGGTGGAGGAAAGACTAGAGTGGGCAAAGATTTGAGGCAGTAAGACCACCCAGCAAGCTATTTTTTTTAGTCCAGGTATGAAGAGAGAATGGTGCTTAAGGAAAGATATAAAAAGTTCTGTTTTGGACATGTTGATTTTGAGATGCCTACAGGATATCTAGATCAAGGTGTTGGTGATGGCAGTTGGTGATGAAAGCTGGGAGGTGAGGACTGGATAAATAGATATAGAATCATCAGCATGGAGATGATCATTTAATCCATGGAAGGCAATCAGCTAAAAAAGCTAGGTTATATAGAGGAAGAAAAGAGAGGACCCAGGATAGACCCTTGAGGGACACCTAAGGTTAATAGGTGTGACCAAGAAAAAGGGATCCAGCAAGAGCCTGAGAAGGTGTGGTCAGATAGGTAGGAAGTGAACTAGGAGGGAGTACTTGTCACCAAAACCTAAAGACAGAGGTACTCGGGAGAAGAGATTGATTAACAGTTACAGAAGATGGAGAGATCAAGAAGGAATAGGATTGAGAAATGGCCATTAGGTTTGTCAGTAAGAGATCACTGGTAACTTTGAAAGTAGCAGTTTCAAATGAATGAAATTGGAAGCCAGAATTCATAGGGTTCAGAAGAGAGTGAGAGATGAGCAGTTCCAGCGGCATCCGGTGAGCTCTTGCTTGGCCCCAGAAAAGCCGGGGGCCAGGGTGTAAATCTCGTGCTGGGCGGTACCAGTGTCCGTGGCAGGTGAACGCTTCTGGCATGTGGTAACAATGTAGGTAATTGGCTCTGAGGGCTGGAATGGTCGGGCTGAGGATGCAAGCCGGGATAGGCGCGCGCTGTGGCTGGATAGGGCACCGCTGCTCCACCTCTGGGGTCTTTCCCCTCAGTTCCCCTGGCCTCCCCCGTGACACCCAGCGCTGGCCGAACCCAGGCAGCTGTGAACCATGGTGTGTGTGGGGGGGTGGGGGAGTCACCTCTTCCCCCTCTTCCCCCTCTTCCCCCTCTTCCCCCAGCTACTCTCCTACCCACATCCACCCCGGCTGGGGGTGGGGGTAGGGGAGCCGGGAAGGAATCAGAGCCAGGGGTTCCAAGTTTCAGGGTCGCCCTTCCGAGCCGTTGGTCTGTGCAGTCAGGACCCAGGGTTCGGGGTGAGCCGATCCCTTCAGGTGGATCGCCCCGACTGTGGCAGGCTTCTTGGCCAGGCCCAAGGAGCCCAAGGGCGAGGTGTCTCCCCTGAAGTGCACGCGGTTCCCCCAGCAACCCCAAGCCGGGCAGCGGCCACCCTCCTGACCCACACAGTGGCAGTCAGGCTGATCTGGGTGGCACAGTGGATAGCGACCTGTTCCTGGAGTCTGGAAGACTTGTGTTCAAATTCGACCTCAGACACATAATAGCTGTGTGACTCTGGGCAAGTCACTTAACCCTCAGTTTCCTTATCTATAAAATTATCTGGAGAAGGAAATGGCAAACCACTCCAGTATCTCTGCCAAGAAAATCCTAAATGGGGTCAGGAAAAGTCGGACATAACTAAAAAACTACTTAACAAGAGAGGAGAGGAATTGGAGGTTGTGATTTAGAAGGATTTCTCAAGGAGTTTAACCAAGAACTGAAAGAGATATATGATGATAGCTAGTAGGATTGGGTCAATCAGGTGAGGGGTTTTTTTTCTTTTAAGGGTGGGAGAAACGTGGGTATATTTATAGGTAGATGAGAAGCAGGCAGTAGATATAGAGAGACTGAAAATTAGTAAGTGGAGTAGGGCAATCTGCTGAGGGAAGAGAGGATGGATTGATGTCCAGGATGCATGTAGAAGGATTTGTCTTAGGGAAAAAGGGCCATCTCTTCCTGTGATATGGTGATGAAGGAAAAAATAGTAGTGGAAGACCACTAAGTGACGTGAGATGAGCAGAAAGAGAGCTCTCAACAAATGGCCTCAATTTTTTCAGTGAAGTATGAGGCAGTCTTCTGAGAAGGGGGAGGAGCATGTACCATAGGAGACTTAAGGAAATATAAAAAGGTTTAGAATAGTCTTCCTGGTGATAGGATAGTGAATTGATTAGGAAGCAATAAAAGGATTGTATTGCTACAGTGAGGGCCCAGTTGAGATTATGCAGTGCTACCAGTCAAAGGGGTTTCAACATGATTTTCTCCAGTGCCATTTAGTTGAATAGCAGCAAAGATTGGGGTTTGGCAAGGCATGATCAGTAATAGAACAAAGGGGAACGATAGTGGAGTATAAATAATAATGAATAATTGAACTGGATAACTGAGGGGTCAGGGTGGTCAGGGGAGGAAAGTATAGCTCTTGCAAAGGTGATGGCCTGAGAAAGAACTTAGAGGGTAGAAGGATTGGAGATCATGGTGAGAATAAACTGGGAAACACAGAATGATAAAAGATTATGATCAGATAAAGGAACTTCAGAGTTATGAAATTTATGGGTGATAGTATGGTTAAGGGTATGAACATTTCTATATGTAGTTAAGGTGGGATGGAACAATAAGTAATGAGAAACTGCGAAATTATCAAGTTTAAGGGGAGTATCATTAAGTCTCAAGGTACTAAATTCATTGAGGAAGGAAGTAGAGATCAATGGTATGGAGAAATAGGTCATGGGAAATGAGTAGATTGAAAAACTGGGAAGCTAGGGTGTTTGAAGGATAATCAGTATGTAAGTTGATACATCTATGTTAGCATCTTCATGTATGTCTCCCTTCCTGTCCTTTCCTACAACTGTCCCCCACCAGCTAACTCTGGCCAAGATCCCTGAAAGATGTCCACATCTTTGTTCCTTGTCTTTGGAATGTAGACACAAGAGATGAATGCAGCAAAAGAGCCACCAGAGGATACTGATGTGTCAAATGAGAGGAAGAAAATTCAAGACTATCCTGAAGAATCAATTCCAATCGTGGAGAGTCCACTGATTCTTAAAGACCTAATGAAGGTAAAACTAGTCAGTGGTCAAAGTTGTCCTGGGCTCTATTAACCAGGGGCATAAAAGAAGCATGTCAATATAGCAGATCTTTGAAATCTGCATCTGTTCTCCCTTTAGGGTAGAGAAGTAGACTATGCAAAAAAGGAGAACCTTTTTTGTACCCACCTTTGAACGTGGAAAGTGGAAGACTACTGTCTGTAGTTGCTGTTCTTGACTTACAGGCATTATTTCTTCAGTATTATATTCTCTGGGTTTTCTCAGGTATATTATCGGTGGATACCCATCCTGGCTGTGGACAGTATCTCTTTTGCAGTCATGAAAGGAGAATGCTTTGGGCTACTTGGTTTCAATGGAGCTGGGAAAACCACCACATTCAAAATGTTAACTGGAGATGAAACTATAACCAGTGGGGATGCATATTTCGATGGCCATAGCATCAACAAGAATATCAAAACGGTAAGGTACTACTACTAGGATCCAAAATGAAATGATTTCCTGAGACATATGGGGTTGGAAACCACAATGGAAGATCTGGGTTCATAAGAAGAAGGTACTGGGGTTACTTATGGAAGCAGTTAAGCAAAGATATGTTGGTAAAATAAAAGTAACCTCTAAGTAGAGTGCATCTTCTTGAGTCTCCTGGAGTAGGGGGAGAAAAAGAGGCGTTCATCACTGACTTGTATTCCTCATAGAGAAACATCTGCAGCATAGGTAACAGACCTCACAATGTAGTTTCTGAAATTCAAGCAGATGTGGCTGCTTAATTACTAATGTTGGTTATTGAAAAAAGTGATAAAGGGTTGTATGACAATAACTTTCAGTACACAGCTTGAGCTTAAGGGTCTTATACAATCAAAATGTTATATTTTAGGCCACCTGGAGGTATAGTTGTCACCTCATATGTGAAAATATTCTGTGATAACCAGGCTGGTGAGCTCCCTATGTCTCCAAATTTTTTTCCTGGTACAACCAATCCCCTCCTTTCCGGCTAACCAAATCTTACCTATACTTCAAAATCTGTTACAAGGGATCTCAGATGTCATTTATCTTATTAAATCTGTATCCAGTACAGATTTAGTTTCCAAATTCAGTTTTCAAAGATCAAAATGGCAGGTGTGGGGGCAGCTAGGTGATGCAGTGGATAGAACATGGCCTTGAAGTCAGGAGGACCTGAGTTCAAATCCAGCCTCAGACCAAACATTTGACACTTGCTAGCTGTGTGACCCCGGGCAAGTCACTTAACCCCAATTGCCTAAAAAAAAAAAAAAGGCAGGTGACCCAAAGGGTAATGGAAAGACACATGGTAGGTAAATGTAGGCTACAGTATATTAACAAAGATGACTTTTTACACATGAAGTGGTATAGAAGACAATCTTGAATGGAAAAGAAAGGTTTGTCACATACAAGAAGAAGATATAACAGCAAGATAGTTTGGGTTGCACTGATCTGTACAAAATATTAAAATAACCAGAGGAAGCAGTATCTAGTAATTTTGATGGCTTCTATTAGAGGATTTATGAAAGAATATGGACAAGAATCAAACAGAATGTCAAGGTATGTATGGGTCTCATTCTGCATGGAAAAACAGTACTCAAAAAAAATAATAATAATCTAAAAAAAACAGTACTCATAGCAAAAGACCATAAATCCATAAAAGGATGAAATATATAAATGAAATATATAAATAGATAGGTGTACTCAGGTCAGTACGAATAGATGGAGCCAACATAGAGTATTTTAAAAGTAAAACCACAGCGCTTTTATTACCTTAATGAGCCCCATGTGTGCCAGTAAGGACCTATTCTCCAAGCTGATCAAGAATGGAGACCCTTGTCCATGAGTTCCACTTATATGATATAAGACTCTCTCCTAATTTACTTACTCCATAACCTCTAATTACCCATAATGAACTTTATGTCAACATAGCTCCAAATGTCTTATGTTCACCAAACAATTCAGTGAGCATTTATTAAGCGCTTGTGTGCAAGGCACTATGCCAGACACTGGAGATAAAAAAAATAACAAAAAAAAGTCCCCTCCTCCCCATCCCCCTTACAATGAGCTTACATTCTCCAGGGGTAGGAGTGGGAAATACAACATGTACTCAACTCAAGCAATCCATATGTGTGACTAGTGCATTTCAATGTTGCAAATTTTAACCTATCTTTGTCTGTTTTTCCTTTGTGACTATTGTATGTAGTCATATATATATGTGCAAGTATATATACATTTCAGTCCACACTTGGATTCACCCCACATATACAATCCATTAAAAAATCTTGTCATTTCTACCTTCATAACATGCCCCTTTCTCTCTATTCAGATAGTTACTATCTAGTTCAGACCCTTATCACCTTTTATTGGGACTATCACAAGAGCCCTCGATATATATAGACTTCCATAAGTCTGCCACAGGAGATCTATCTAAACAATATGTATACAGATAAACAAATTAAAGTAATTTACAGAAAGAAAGGGAGTTAATTGTTAACTCTCCTTCATGTCAAACCAGTTGGTGCTATGCTAAACTATTCCTGACCTCAGTCCCCCAAAAGGATCATATTATTGGGGTAATCTGTTTAGACTTAATCAAGTAGAGTAAGAGATGGCCTTTTCTATAGCCAAAATCCATTTTTTTGTAATTTTAACATATTAGTAGTTGTTCTGCTTTCTGGAGCCACAAAAAAATGTTTAAAATACCTCATCCTTCTTCCACATAATATATATTTACATACTTAAAGACAGCTATTCTGTTCCCCCTAAGTCTCCTCTAGGCTAAGGATTTCCAGTTCATAAAATCTTCAAGTTGGAAAGGACATTGAAAGTCATCTAATCTGCCAAATGCATGAATCTCCTCTACCATTTCCCAGTAGATATTCATACACTCTCTGCTTGAACATCTCGAAGGACAAGGAGCTTATTGTGGCTCAGTGGAGCTCATTTTTGGACTTCTACTTATTCAGAAAGTTTTTCCTTATATTGAACTGAAATTTGCTTCTCTGTAACTTCTGCCTATTGTTCCTATTTCTGCCTTCCCAGAAAGAATTATTAGAAAGAATATCTAATCCCTCTTCCATATAAAGCCCTTCAACCATTTGAAAATGACTATCCTACACTGCCCTTTCCCACCACTATCCCCACCATAGTTTTCTTTTCTCAGATTAACATAGCTGTTTCATAGAGTATTAGAAGGGACTGTAGAAGACTAAATCTTCCACATAATATATGATTCTCCTTTTACAGAATCACTGACAGTTGGATTCTCCAGAATGTGTTTAAATACTTCTGATAATGAGCACTTATTACCTTGTAAAATGGTCAGTTCCATTTTATACAGTTCTCTCAATGATGAAGGAAATGGACTCATCTTTGTGTGCAGATTGAAATCCCCAAAAGTATGAGTGATTGGTAAAGAGTAAGTTTCTAGAGCACAAATAATATTTTATTTCTGTGTTTGAATTTCCAGCATTTGGAAAGGTATGTAGTAGGTGCTTCATAATTAACATGGTTTGCAGGAAAGTTTAAGCAACAAGATTTGATGAAAATGAGATCATCAACGCATAGTGAAATCTGAAATATCCCTGGCCAGGGATGGTAGAATAGAGGGGGAGTTTGAGTATGCAGTTACATAATAAAAGTCTGCTTCTATAATCAAAAAACTGAGCTATATCTTCACCAGATATGTCTGATGATGCCCATGATAGTAAAAATAATAAAAAGACTATCCTGACTCTAGTGATCTGACTATGTCACTCAGTCAATAACGCAGGCAAAGATCAGGCCTCAGAGGACTGAATCACGGACAGCTGTGGTGGTTTCCAGACTTCTCAACCCACCAACACCAAAGACAACATAGGTCAGTAGGAAAAGTCTGTGACCTCAGTGAGAGAGAAGCTAGGTCCCAGCCCCAGGGTGGCGGCTGCTTCCAGAGCTCTCAGCCCACAGACAGAGGGGAAAATCAAGTGGCTGATCAGAGGGGGATTGCAGGGATCTCTTTGCTGGTGGTGAGGAAGGATTATCTTGCTTTGCCTGTGCTTGGATCTGGGTCGCGGTCCTGAGGCAAGGAGGAGTGCTGGCATGGTGGAGCTTGTAATGGCAGTGGAGAAGGAATCCTCCTCACAGTTCCAAGGCAGAAAAGAGTGCTTGTGGTCACTCATAGACCAGAGCCCAGGCCAGGAAAGGAGTAAACACCTCACCCTTGATTGTACCACCTTGGAAAAACTGAAAATTTACAGGTATCTAGAAGTATCTCTGAAAACAGCTGCACAAAACCCCTGAAGCTTGGGAACAGTACATTCTCCACAATGGAAGGAGACCCCTACCTTAACAAAGAGTTTATAACTCAAGTAATTGGCTGGGATCATGAACAAACTGTGCAAAAAGAGTCAGACCATAGAATCTTTCTTTGGTGACAAAGAAGATCAAAACATACAACCAGAAGAAGACAACAAAGTCAAAGCTCCTACATCCAAAGCTTCCAAGAAAAATATGAATTGGTCCCAGGCCGTGGAAGAGTTCAAAAAGGATTTTGAGAAGCAAGTAAGAGAAGTAGAGGAAAAACTGGGAAGAGAAATGAGAGTGATGCAAGAAAAACATGAAAAACAAGTCAACAGCTTACTAAAGGAGACCCAAAAATACTGAAGAAAATAACACCTTAAAAAAATAGCCTAACCCAAATGGCAAAAGAGGTCCAAAAAGCCAATGAGGAGAAGAATGCCTTAAAAAGCAGAATTGGACAAATGGAAAAGGAAGTCTAAAAGCTCACTGAAGAAAACACTTCCTTAAAAATTAGAATGGAGCAAATGGAAGCTAGCGACTTTATGAGAAATCAAGATATTGTAAAATAAAACCAAAAAAGATCTTAACAGCCTCTCACTGTGAGAAGTAGTTTCTGTGCAAATAGAAAATGTCTTGTGTTTTAAAGACTAAAAATGATTGAGAGAAATATGTGTATACTTTTAATGTACATTTGATAGTCCTACAAATAGGATGATAAAGAAAATTGGCTCTTGGACTTTAAAGTTTCAGATTAATTGTATCTAAAAGGCTACAAGGATTTTATTAATTTATACATTTAGGTCTGAACAATTTCTTTCCTATAAGCTGAAGATATCTGCCCCACCACAGTGACAGGCTGATAATTCAATAGCAGTTTACTGAGACTTGATTTGATCCTAAATTCATATCATAGCTTGAAAACAGTAGGGTCTACAAAAAAATTGTACAATTCTATTGGCAAAAAAATTTCTACCTCTTCCCTTTTGTCAGTATCACTCTATCCATTCCTTCCCAAGACTCAGCATGGGAAGCACACCCCAGGAAAGATTAAAATCATGGACTTGATACAATGTGTAATGATTTTATATCATTTGGTTTCATTATTGCTTTGTTTGAAATATTTCCCTTTCTGGAGGGGAAATTGTTGCAAATATACAATAGTAACCTAGAAAGGCTGGGCACTTGTCTAACAAAGTCCTATGCCTGCTACTAAGATATAATTCCTGCCCAAATATTATTTGCACTATGACCTAAATGTAAATTGTGATAAATTGTTATTTAGCCATAATATCACTTTTATTTTTGTGATTGCTCATTTGTATCATAAATATTTGATTTGGTATAATGAAAAGATTTGATCTATCAATATGAACTAAATAAACTAGAATTTTTTTTAAATTTAGTTTTAATCTTTTAGAAAAACTTTGTTTTTCTAATGGACACAAAATATGGATTTTTAAATTTTTTGAAAAATTGTATTGATAACTGATTTTTATTTCACCTACATTTCCCAACATATTTCCATCCTTCTCTTCTTCTCTCCCTGAGGAAAATCCTTTGTAACAAAGAATTTAAAAAGGGGAAAACAGTTAATTAAGACTAACCCTGATATCTAAAAAGTTAGACAACAGTGCTCCATACCAATAGTTTCCCCAACTTCTGCAAAAGAAATGGGAGAAAGGTGCTTTTTCATATCTCTTGATCATTTTAATTTTGTAGCATTCAGTTTTGATTGAATTGTTCTTGTCATTTACACTGTAGTAGGCACTGAGTATATATTTTTTCCTTGATTCTGCTTTCTTTACTTGGTATAAGATGTCTTTCCACAGTTTTATGTATTCATCATATTTATTGTTTCTTACAACACAATAATATTCTGTTATACTCATGTACCATAACTTATTTAGCCATTCTCTAATCAGTGATTATGTACTTTAGTTCCACTTCTTTGCTATTACAAAAGAGCTGCTATAAATACTTTTTTGTATGTGAGGCCTTTTTTTTGTCATTAACCTTCTTGAGGTTATATGCTTATCATTGTAATCTCTGGGTCAAATAGAAAGATGGCTATTTAGTGATTATATTACCCTACTAATATAAAACAAGCCTAATACCCATTAGCATTTATGTTAACTTAAGAGACAATTTCATCCTCATTTAATTGCAAGCATTGGAAATTGCTGTATGAGGTGAAATCTTTTGGAATGGCAAATTTGACTAGTATATTGTCTATGACTTCACTTTGATCCTGGAAAGAAAAAAGTGGTTATTAACTCATTAGAGTTCAAATAGGATATTGGGCCTGGGATCAGAAAGATCTAGGTTCCAATCTTGCCTCAGACACTTATTAACTCTGTGATCCTAGGCAAATTCCTTCAACTCAGAATGTCTTTCCCTTAGTCATCTCCTCTTCTCCTATGGATTCAAGTATCATATCTATACAGATCACTTCATTACCTATGTGGCTAGCCTTCATCTTGCTCCTCAACTCTTATCTTACATCACAAACTGCCTACTAGATATCATCTGGTAATATCCCAAATTTAACACATCCAAACCAAAGCCAATTAATTTCATTTAGGGAGCTAAACATACTGTTCCACTAAACTCCTTTCTCTCTGTGAAACCTTCCAGTTCCCCAGATTCACCATCTTAGAATCATCTTTGACTTGTCCCTTGCCCACACTCCCATATACAATCATTTAACAATTTTTTTTAAAATTTTCCCTCTATCATCTCTGATATCACTTCTCTCAGCCATCATATAGCCACTACATAACTTCAAGTTCTCATCCCTTTCTGATTTGCTTTGAGGGTAATATGCAAACCTCTCCATACCAATAGTTTCCCCAACTTCTGCAAAAGAAATGGGAGAAAGGTGCTTTTTCATATCTCTTGATCATTTTAATTTTGCAGCATTCAGTTTTGATTGAATTGTTCTCGTCATTTACATTGTAGTAGGCACTGAGTATATATTTATTTGAGGCTCTCAACCATCTGGGACCAACTTATTCTTTTCAGCCTTATTCAGTACTACTTCACCTACACTGTTGCCCAAACTAGATTACAAGATATTTCACAAACTCCACATTCCATCTTCTACTGTTCTGCATCCTCACAGGCCACCTCCAAGTCTGGTATGTCCTCCCTCATCTCTATCTTTCAGAATCCTTATCACAGACACATTGATATTGCTGTTCAAAAACACCAGACACCCACAGTCACATTGCTGCACTATGTTCTCTCTTTTCCTACTCCAAAAATAAAGAGCCCTGAAAAAACAGTGCGATGAGCCAAAGAAACCCTGCTTCTCCTAGCTTTTACAGTCCAATTGCAGTCAGCTTCATCATGAAGAAGAGTGGCTAGTACAGTCCCAAGGGCTTTTTTTCCCATAGCTGCTGCCTTATCACCTTCATGGCTCAAATGTCCTGTCATCCTTATTGTGCCACATATTTTATTTCTTATGTATTCCCCCCACAGCACTGAGCATAGCAAGTGTTCAGGAACTGGTTTAATCGAATCCAGGTAAAAAGGTCCACAGGACCAGTTTATTCCAGTAGGCTCTAGATGCAGAGAACCTTTAGCCCTGATATTAGCAGGGATATTGTAGAGGAATAAATCTCATTAATTAGAGATACCAACCAGTAGAAGGAACTCCATGTCCTATATATAGAGAACAAGTACCCAGAGAAAAAGCATTTTTTTTTCAGTCCCATCCTTTGACTGAAACCGTTTCCTGGGGCACTGAACTCTTATTTCAGGTACAGCGACGAATCAGTTACTGTCCTCAATTTGATGCTCTGCTAGACTACATGACAGGAAGAGAAATAATGTATATGTATGCTCGATTGTGGGGGATTCCTGAAAATCACATCGATCGTTATGTGAAAAACATGCTGAAGTCATTGCTCCTTGAAACCAATGCAGACAAGCTCATTAGGAACCTAAGGTGAGATGCTGTCCTTCCCTAGTCCTTCTTTTCTGTAACTATAACCCTTAGAAACAGAATCAGAAGGGCACAGGAGATTCCTAATCAATAGGCTTAGGATATTACCATATAGATTTTGTCATCATTCACAAAGTCAAATCTTCCACCAGAAACTCCATGACAGCAGTGAGGCAGTAGAGATCTGTTCTTAGGGACTTGATCAGAAACCGCTATTTTAACTTTGCTCTCCATTGATTGGCCCCTGCTAGAAACAACAGATCCATCTCAGATCCTAGCTGCTATTGATGATTTTGATGCTATGATCAGGGTTCCTTCCGTGGACGTACCTCCTTATTGACCTGGAGTATAGAAGAAAAGGATATCAGCATCATAGCTTGAGTGGCTCAGACCCTGTCCTTTGTGATACTTAGAGACGATGACTATGCTAAAGGAGCAATCAGCCAAAAAGACTGTTGTGGCCCAAATGCCAGCAGTAGGGATGATCTGGGTTGCCTATATAGATAAAACATATATAAATTTAGTGCCACAGATCCTACTGCCCAGGGCCAGGTAAGAGGACATGACTCCCTTCTTGGGCATATATTGAAATTATCTTTAAATCAAAAGTCTGCATTGGGATTTGTTACCTTTTTTTTTAGATTCACAATATTTGTCAGTGTGCTACTTAGGACTTTGATTATCTCTGAATTATATTCTATAAATTACTGCTGTTTATGGCCTTTTTTTCTTTCTTTATTTGCTTCCTTCTTCATGGAGTGGTGGCAACAAGCGTAAGCTAAGCACTGGTATTTCCCTAATTGGAAGGCCTTCAGTCATCTTCTTGGACGAGCCTTCTACAGGCATGGACCCTATGGCTCGGCGCCTACTCTGGGATACAGTGATGCGGATTCGTGAGTCCGGCAAGGCCATTGTCATAACCTCCCACAGGTGTGGCCCACAGCTTGGTCAGGGATGTGGGGGGAACTGTAGTAGGGACAGCAGGGCTTTGTTGGGGCTGGGAACTCAAATCAGTAACTCTGAGTCTTAGAGGTTAATGGGAACAAGGCCTCCCAGTAGCTAATTTTGCCAAAGGGAACATCCTAGAATCCCTTAAATGTTGGCTACTTGGGTGGTCTTTGGAACCCTTAGAATTTAGGGTAGAAAGATAGAGGGAGACTGATAGATGAAAGCTCCCACAGTGATTTGGGGCATCTGCTTCTATTATATATTAAACACTTTGAGTTTCCTCAAAATGAGGGGACTGGACTAGATGATTTCTAAAATCCTTCAGCTATAAATTTTGTAATCCTATGACCCTTTGATCTTCTCTATTCCCCAGACATACCCTGGGCCCTGAGCACTTGCAATACCAGGACAGGCCTCTCCAGGGATGGTATACAAAATCTTAGCTTTATCTAGACCATAGCCTTTACCCTACAAGGAGGGACATCTCCAGCTCTTGTCCCTTGTCTCCCCAGCATGGAGGAATGCGAGGCCTTGTGCACCAGACTGGCCATCATGGTGGCTGGGAAGCTGAAGTGTCTAGGAAGTCCACAGTATCTCAAGAACAAGTTTGGCAGTGGATATACCTTGATAGCCAAGATGAAGAGTGATAGTACAGATTCTGATATGGAACGTTTCAAGGACTTCATCAATTTAACCTTTCCAGGTATGAAAGCTTGAGTAGAAACCTTCCCAGTTTAGCCCTTTTAATGATACATGTTATTGCCCTGTCCTATGATGAAAAAGCAAAGCTCCTTGGTGACATTCTTACCAATCCTTCTTTGGCATCAACTAATTATTGTTTTTAAGGTTCCCTTCTGCCAACTAGCCTTGCAAGTTCTGCATAGCCAAAGTATGTTTGGGGAAAGAGAATTAGAACTGATGGACCCTCTTTTCCCTTCTTTTTTTTTTCTTTTTGGTGAGGCAGTTGAGGTTAAGTGACTTGCCCAGAGTCACACAGCTAGTAAGTGTCTAGTGTCTGAGGCTGGATTTGAACTCAGATCCTCCTGACTCCAGGGCTGGTGCTTTATCCACTGTACCACCTAGCTGCCCCTCCTCTTTTCTCTTCTTAAACAAAGAGCCTGTAGGTCATGGGTATGAAAAAAATTAGATGATTTATGCACCAACATACTAATCTTTCATTATTATGGCACATCACAATGTTCTATGCATGGAGTAGGAAATAGAATCATGCACTAGGCTATATGTAAGACTTTCAAGATTGAATGGGGAAAATGACAAATCAGTTTTGGTGTGGATAAAGTAAAGGGAATAAATGGATCGAGGGAAAAATAATCCAAACTATATTTTATAGGATAATGGTATTTAATATAAAAGATACTGCTATTGTTTATGAGCCAGTTATAATAGACCCTGGGAATCACTATAGAAGCAACACTAAAAAAGGTACTTAAAACTGAAACAGAGGGAAGACAGCCTCATATGAAAGATCATTAGTTATGACACAGTTATACTTTTGTGTAGATCTGCTCTCTTGTTCCAGACCTTGAGATACTGTTTCTAGCCTCTTTTTCTAGACATTCTTCACCTATTCTCTTATACTTGTTTTGGACCCTGGGCCATGCCCTTTGTCTGACACCACTTTTAGTTGCAGTCCTCTACCTCTTTCTGAATCTCTGATCACTCATCCCAGCTTGCCTGGTCAGTTCTACACTTTCTATGCTGTCTACACCTTCATCTTACGTACCAGATTCTGGTCTCAATGTCATCCCCTGGAATAAATATACTTACACAACCCCCTGCATCTATAGTAATGGAACCTAAATATGTGACCATTTGCCCATATACTACACTATCTGCCTTGCTCCCCTGGCTTCAATAAGCTACTTTCCTGGCCTTTTCCAGTCTACCTTGTACTTCTGCTACCCACAACCTAACAGTAAGAAGCAGGTAGGAAACCAGTGTCATTAATTAGTTCTCCTCTAAGAGGTGGTTTAAGATAAAATGTCATTCAATTCAACAAACATTTAAGTGTATGCTTTATGTGCAAGTCACTTAGGTGAATGGAAAACAAAGACAAAATAGTCCCTTCAAGTTGAGTCTGTAATGGTAGAGTTCTGGTAGAACATAAAGACAAATAGGTAAAATACAAAGTAACTTCAGGAGTGAGAAAGCTAATAAAGAAAGGGCCCAGGGAAGACTTCACTGGAGGGAGGTGAGGTAAGGGGCAGTACCTAAGCTGAAGCTTGAAGGAAGCTCAGGATTGTGAAAGGTGAAGATTAAGAACCATTCCAGATACAGCAGATGGTCCTTATAAATGCTCCAGTGTGGGAGGCAGAATGTTGAGTTCAGAGAACTGCTAGGAGTGAAATTTGGCTGGAACATGGAGTTTATAAAAGGGAGTAGCATGAAATAAGGCTGCAGGTAGATAGAGTAGATGTTTTGGGCAGCTATGTAAATGGCGATTAGAGAGGTAAAAGATTAGAAACAGGGAGACCAGTTGGGATGCTGTCACAATAGTCCATATGAGAGATGTTGAGGACCCAAACTAGGATTACACCTACATGGGTAGAGAGGAAAAAATGGAGGTCAGAAATATTGTGGTGGAAGAATTAGCTGGGCATCTAAGTGGTGCAGTGGATAGAGGGCCAGGCTTGGATTCAGAAAGACTCATCTTCCTGAGTTCAAATCTAGCCTCAGACATTTACTAGCTGTATGACCCTGGGCAAGTCACTTAAATCCTATTTGTCTCAGTTTTCTCATCTGGAAAATGAGCTGGAGAGGGAAATGGCAAACCACTCTGATATCTTTGCCAAGAAAATCCCAAATGGGGTCATGAAGAGTTGAACACAACTGAAATGACTCAACAACAAGAAGAATCAGCTTAGCAGAAGATTGAATTTCAAGAGTGAGAGACAGGATGGGATGTTAAGGCACTTAACTAGCTGTCTGTAGGGAAGTGGGTATTGCAGTGGATGGGGTGCTTAGTGTGTAGTCCAGAAAACCTGAGTTCAAATCCAATCTCAGACACTTAATAGCTTCATAACCCTGAGCATTGGTAACCTTGAAAAGAACAGTTTCATCTGAGTGATGAAATAACAAGCCAAACTACAAGGGGCTGAGAACCAAATTGGTGGCAAAAGAATGGAATCAGTAAGCATAAACATTCTAGGATTCTGGTAATTAAAGGAGGGGAAGATATAAAAGATTAGCTTGTGAGGATGGTAGCACAAAGTGCAAATGACAGAGTAGAACCAAGCATATTTTTAGGCATCAATAGATAGGGAGAGATTAAAAATGGGGTGGGGAAGGGGATAAGTGATAGAAACACCTGGGGGAAACAGGAAAGTACAATATTGAGAGCACAAGTTGAAGAGTTAAAGAGAAGAGCCACCACTTTCATAAATTAAAGGACAAGTAGTTGTGGGTGCATATGTAGACATTTTGAAATGTGGAATTAGGGGATATGAAGGAACCCACATTGATTTATCTCAATTTTCTCAATAAAACAGAGCTTTCTACTGAGGGGGGAGCAGGGTTGGAGGTTTCAGAAGAGAGGTTTGAAATAATCACCAAAGAGAATGGGTTGGATAATCAATCAAGAAAGAATGAAAAGATTTCTGTGCAGCATTGTGAATCTATTTGAGATCAGATAACATGAATTTCTCCCTAATGAAGTCAATATGCTTTTATACCTTCTCCCAAGGCTACTACAGACAAAGGATGAAGGGATTCAAGGGTAGAGGACAATATATATTTGAGTGGGTTAAATATAAGGTTAAGATTCTGAAGCAGGAAAGTGAGATCAAAGCAGGAGTAGTGGTGGACTAGGAAAACAAGGAAAGATTGGAGGGCTAGAATTTGCCATGAAGATGAAAAATAGTTTAGGAAGAATGAATTAGAGGCAGAAAATTAAAGGACAAGAAGTTATTCTCATAAAAGAAAATTTCAGAATTCAAGATCATAGCACAGTTATAGATGATATTGAAATTTTATAATGTATGACCATCCCTGTCTGTCTAGGTGGTATAAAGATAAAGTAATAACAATAACTGACATTTATATAGTTCTATAAAATTTATAGAGTACTTTGAACTTCACAAGAACCCTGTGAGGGGTAGGTACATATAGGTGATTGGAGTCGAAGAAGTTGATGAGGAAGGCTAAGATATTCAGAGAAACATTAACATGCATGACGACATCCCCAAGTTTTAGAGTAGGGGTTATTATGTAAAGAAAGGTTCTAAATTCCTTGAGAAAGAAGATTGACTTGAAAGTGCGAGGTTATAAGAACAAGAATATGGCCTCAATGATATGGACCAAACCTCAAAGAAGGCAAGTTTGCTAAATGGTAGTAACAAAGGGAGGATCCAGGAAATAGTACTGAGGAACAAAGAGTTTGGTGGTTTTTTCTAGAAAGCATGAGAAAAATAGCAACCTCCACTGCAAAGGGTGATGACGAAGGCATTTCCTTCCAGAGAAAATGCTTGATGTCCAGAATATGAAAAGAATCTCAGCAGTTCAGATATTATCTAGTCCAACCTATCCTTGAACAAAAAATTCCTCTAAAATATGCCTGGCAAATGATCCTTGCCCTGTTTCTACCATACCCCACTTTTTTTTTTTTTACCTTTCTCAACCATTGATAATCAAATCAACATTGCTTTTTACTACTATGACAAGCATAACACTCTAATTTCCCATGGCTCTGTAGGCTGCCTAGGAAGAACTCCATCCCTAACTCTATTTCAGCCCCATCCCTCCAATATCTCTATTCCTTTTTTCTATTGGGTCCTCTGGACCCCCTGTTCTATTGTTAACAAACTCAAATCTGGGTTCAGATACTCAGTAACTTTATGACTGTTGGCAAATCACTTAACCTGTGCTTCAATTTCCTCATCTGTAAAATTGGGAAAATAATAGCACCTAAATCCCAGGTTATAGTGAGAATCTAATGAAGTAATAATTGTAAAGTGCTTACCATAGTGCCTGGCACATAGTAAGCACTATATAAATGTTAACTGTTATAATATATCTGTGCCCTACCCCCCTCAAAAAATCCTTTGTATATTTCATATTTACTTATATGGGTATGTTATTTCCCCTGATAAAATGTAAGAGCAGGGATTATTTTTTTGTTGTTTTTGTATCACTGTCACCTAGAACTGTGCCTAACATACTGTAGCATAGATGGCAATTTGCATTATAAAAGCTTGTAGAATTGAATTGGTCATCCAGATTTTGCTAGAGGACATCCAGGGCAATTTGCAAGGGAGGAGGAAAGGAAACTGGAAATTTTGGTCATGTGCTTGTAACCAATTTAGAAGGAGCCAGTAGAGGGACAATTGGTTAGAGATGAAAGAAAGGCATTCTACTTTTTTTTTTTTTTAAGCTAGGCAATGGGGTTAAGTGACTTGCCCAAGGTCACACAGCTAGTAAGTGTTATGTGTCTGAGGCTGGATTTGAACTCAGGTCCTCCTGAATCCAGGGCTGGTGCTCTATCCACTGTGCCACCTAGCTGCCCTGTATTTTACTTTTTAAAGGCTCTAATTGTTAGGAATTTTTTTCCAAGCCTAAATTTGCCACTCTTTAGCTTCCACTCATTATTCTTAATTCTGCCTTGTAGAGCAAAACAAATCTTACCTTTTTTTACATGGTAACCCATCAGATATTTTAAGAAAGTGTTCATACCCTCCCTAATTCTTCTCTTCTCCAGGCTAAACATATCCAGTTTGTTCAGCCAGCCTTCTCATGACATGATCTTGAGGTTTTTCACCATAATAATATCACCCTCCTGTGGATATTTTCCACCAGATTAACATCCTTCCTAGAAAGTAGAACCTAGGAATGAACAAAGTATGTCGATGTGGCCTGACCAGCCAAAGTACAAAGCAACTATCATCATCTTAGTCCTGGTGATACAGTTTGAGGGGTTTAGGGACCCCTCAAGGACCAAAGTACAGGACACAGTCATCTGGAAAGAATTCATGGACTCAAGCAGTCTTTAAGTCAAGTTGGCAAAGGTTAATTTTACTCTATTCAGCGGGCAAAAGTTCTTAAGGAACCTGCAACCTTAGAGGGGTACAGTTAAAGTTTATATAGGAAAAACTATAGTAAAATGTGCCTAGTATGCTAATTAGGTGACTCGGTGGGATTAGGAAGTGGTTAAGGAGTGGTCAGTTCTTAAAGAAACGTTTTGTATCTACTGTGCAGGTGTTTTACTCAGAGTTCACCAGGAAAAGACCAAGGAGGGTGGTGGGGGGCGCCACAGAGAGGTGTGGTTTTTAGGTTTGCTATGTCACTACGTTAATTACCAGTCAGGGCTGACTAAGGATTGTCCAGTCTACCACTAATCAAAGTCTTATTTGACAAGATAGATGTAGGGAGTGTGTATGTATGTGTGTACATATGTATGTATTAATTCTAGGATACACTTAATGAGGAGTCCAGGATGCATATAATGAGGTAAAGAGTTGGTGTAGATGATCCGGTATGTACCAAATATCTTTATGAGCCAGTACAACGCCAGTTCAAACTAATAATTCCTACAGGTGCAGTTTGTTACTGTACCAGGAAGAGAGATAAGTGTTTTGCTGGGGCCCATTCATGAGTAATTGCTAGGTACAATGTCCTCGAGCTAGGGAGAAACTGCTACGGATAGTGTTTTGAGGATAGAGAGAAATAAGGTCTTGGAATTGGGTCTGAGCACAGTTACCCAAGCACCACATACTGGACACTTTGCCTCTCAACGTAGCCTAAAATTGTATTAGCTTTTTTTTGACACAGTCATTCATTCATTCAGTCAACAAGCCCTTACTGTATGCCAGGCACCATGCTACGCCCTGGGGATACAAAGAAAGGCAAAAACAGAATCCTTGCTCTTGTGGAGCTCCCATTGTAATAGAAGAGACTATCTGCAAATAGTCATACAAATGCAAGATATATTCACTGTAAATAGGTGATTTTGGAGGGAAGGAACTGGGAGTGGGGGAGGAAAGGCCTACTATACAAGACAGGATTTGAGCTGAGTCTTGAATGAAGTCAGGGAAGCTAGGAGTTGAATAAGAAGAGAAAAAGCCTTCCATCCATGAAGGATAGCCAGTGAAAAGGCACAGCCTGGAAATGTGTAGGGAGCACCAAGCCAGCCAGCTGTAGGTGGGTCATCATTTGTGGAAGGGAGTAAAATGCAAGAAGCCAGGCTGTGGATGACTTTAAATGCTGAACAGAAAATCTTATATTCAGTCTTGCAGGTAAAAGCGAGCTACTGGAGTTTATCGAGTAGAAAGGTGACACGGTTAGACTTATACTTTAAGAAAATCACTTTGGCAGCTGAGTGAAAGATGGATTATAGTGAGGAGCAAGCCAATGCAGGAGGACTAACTAGCAAGCTTTGCAATAATACAGGCAAAAAGTGATGAGAGCCTGTACAAGGGCAGTGGTCATATGACTGGAGAAAAGAGGACATATTACAGGGAGGTTATGAAGGTAAAAACAAGATCTGAGAGCTGACTGGATATGTGGAGTGAGCACTAGTTAGAAGACAATACCAAGGTTGCAAGCCTGTGTGATTTGGAGGATGTTTGTTTGCTAGACAGTATTAAAGACATTGGGAAGAGAGGCAGGGTTTGAAAGGAAAGATTATAAGGTCTGTTTTGAATATGTTGAATTTGAGGTGCTTACTTGACATTCAATTTGAGATAGTCAAAAAGTAGTGGGTAATGCAAGACTGTAACTCAGGAAAGAGATGAGGCCTGGATATATAGACCTAGAGATGGTGGTTGAACCATGGAAAGTGATGAGATCACCAAGTGAGAGAGTATAAAGAGAAAAGCGAAGAGGGCCCAGGACACAGCCTTGGGGGAGGCCCACAGTTAGTGGACGTGATCTGAACAAAGATCCATCAAAAGAAAAAAAAAAAAAGACTGAAAAGGAGCAGGTAGATGAGGAGAGAAAAGTGTCAATAAAACCTAGAGAAGAGAGAGTGTTCAAGAAAAAACGATTGGCAGTGTCAAAGGCTACAGATTTAGCAATTAAGAGGTCATTGGTAACTCTGGAGATACTGGTTTCAGTGGAATGATAAGGTCAAAAATCCAATGGCAGAAGATTTAAAAGCAAGTGATGGGAGAGGAAGAAGAGGCTCCTAGTCTAGATGGCTTTCTCAAAGAGTTTAATCACAGAGAGAAGCGTGACATAACAGCTAGTGCTGATGGTTAGAGCGTGTAGACGTAAACATACTTGTAACCAGTCTAGAAGGAGAGACCAAAGATTAGAGAGAATGGGGATGACAATAGGGACAATTAGCTGGATAAGAAGGAAAGGGATAGGTTGGGAAAGATAAATATGGGGAGAAGGGGATGGCTGTAGCAAGGAGAAAAGCCACCTCTTCATATGAGATAGTAGAGGGAGATTTCTGATTAATGTGAGAATAGGAGATGAAAAGCGGGAGCTCTTGTCAGCAGCCTCAGTTTTTTTCAGTGAAAGATAAAGTGAGATCTTCAACTGAGAGGGTGGAGAGAGTGGAATAAAAAGGTTTGGAATAGGGGCAGCTAGGTGGCACAGCGGATAGAACACTGGGCCTGGAATCAGGAGGACTCGAGTTCAAATCCCACCTCAGACCAGACACTGGACACTAGCTATGTGACCCTGGGCAAGTCACTTAACCCCAACTGCCTCACCTCCCTCTCCCCCCCAAAAGAAAAGAAAGGTTTGGAATAGCCACTGTGGCAAGTAAGTAGTGAATTGATTGGAGCAGTATAAAAGGATTCTTTTGCTGCCATGTAGACCCAATTGAGATTATGTAACAGTGTCATATGTATACATAGGATAGTATGTATATGTGTGTTTATAATATATGTGTATAAGTATATATAGACTGTATATCTGAGTAACTAGGAGTATAGTGTAGTTCTCTACATTAATAAGGGAAGTTGGAGGGAAGGAGGTTTTAGAGAGAAAGATAATGAGTTCTTTTTTGGACATGTTGAGTTTAAAAATGAGTTTTTTGGACATGCAAGATTGGAGGTCAGAGGGCTTCAGGTAGGATAGGTAGATTTGAGAACCATTAGCATAGTGATGGTCATTAAATCCATGGGAGCTGATGAGATCACTGAGTGAAGTACTATAGAAGGAGAACACTTCTGTGTTCCAAAAACCTATAGAAAAGAGAGAATCAAGGTGATCAACTGTATCAAAGGCTGCAGAGAGGTCAAGGAGAATAAGAATTGGGAAAAGGCCATGAGATTTGGCAGCAAAGAGATCATTAGTAACTTTGCAGAGAGTAGTTTCTTGGAATGAAAATGTTGGAAGCCAAATTGTTAGGGGTTAAGAAGAGAGTGAGAAGAGAGAAAAGTAGAGGCACCTATTGTAGCTGGCCTTTTCCGAGGAGTTTATTTATAAAAGACAGAAGAGATATAGGGCAGTTAGCAGGATCAGGAGGATCAAGGGAAAGTTTTTTTGTTTTGTTTTGTTTTGTTTTTCAGGAAGAAGGAGACATGGGCATATTTGTAGGCAGTAGGACATGTAAACAGGGAGAGACTGAAAATAAGTGAAAGTAACGATGACAGAGGCGCAGTCTGTTGGAGGAGATAGGATGGAATAGGATCACTTGAACAAGTAGGATTAGCCTTGGTAAGGAGTAAGACCACTTCATCATATAAGACAGGGGTGAAGGAGGAGATAGTGGCAGAAGACACCTGAGTGATAGGAGATGGGAAAGAAGGTATGCTAGGTGTGACAGCAGATTCTGCATCCTTCTTTTCCATTACTCTTCATCTTCCTCTTCCTGTTCCTTTCAGGGAAAACAGGGGCCCAGGCAATGGCACTTCAGGGGGTGTAGGCACACCCTTCTAGTCATGCCTATGTCTATACCTGTGTTATCCCTCCATTGATATGTTTTGACAGTAACAATTATTTTGAATTTAAAAATAAGTTTACCAGAAAACAGCTCTTCTGCATCACTTTCCCTCACTAAGAGTCTCCTCCCCATTTTAGGCAGAACATTGAAGCACGAACACCAAGGAATGGTCCATTACAACATTCCCACCGATAACCTCAGCTGGGCAAAGGTAAGTGTGGGGAGCCAACACAAACTAATGCCCCTTAAAGTAGAAGTGAGAACCAGCTTTATGGGGGATGTCACTGTAAAGCACTGACAGTCTGCACCTGAAGGCTCAGGTCCATTAGGGACCTTTTATCTTCGTGGTGTAGTGGAAAGAAAACTGGACTTGGCATGGAAAAACCAAAAGGGAGAATAATATTCTACCTACCTCACAGTGTGTGTGTGAAAGTAGTTTGTAAATGTTAAAGCATGATATAAATATTAGTTGTTTTGTAGCCTGGAGACATAGATTATTCTAAGAAACTGAGGTTGGAAACGAGCAGAACCTTTCTTTTGTAATCCTATATGTATTATTTTATATTTTTAAAAACATTATTCTTAAGGGGGCAGCTAGGTAGTGCAATGGATAGAGCACTGGCCCTGGAGTATCTGAATTCAAATCTGGCCACAGACACTTCACATTTACTAACTGTGTGACTCTGGACAAATCACTTAACCCCAAATGCCTCACAAAAAAAACAAAAAACAAAAAACATTCTGAGAAGACTGTAAATTTCAACAGATTGCCAAAGAGGTCCAAGACACACAAAAAAAAGGTTAAACTCTTTTCCAGTCATTTGTTACAGTTTTTGGCTATGAAGAGGTGTAAAAAGAGATCTTCCTCCTTTCTGGCTCCCATTTGGCTATTTCCCTTACTACCCAAAACCTACCTACCTTTTTTTCCCAATATTTACATAAGAATAGGGAGCCCAGGTCTCCTCTAGGATGCTCTCTGGGGAACTTTGTTAACATCTGATTCTATCTGCTGCCCCAAAGGTATTTGGTATTTTGGAGAAAGCAAAAGATGAATATAAATTGGAGGACTACTCCATCAGTCAAATCACACTAGAACAAGTGTTCCTGAGCTTTGCTGAACACGGCAGAGCAGAAGATGAAGAAAATGATTAAAGAGTTCTCCTCACCACTGACCCTTATGACATATGTAGCAAATAAAGAGACAATTATTCTACCTTTGTAGCCTTTGTCTTATTTTCTACTTGGAGAATTCAGGTGAGTACCTTTAGGCACAATAAGCTCCTTGCAGATATGTGCAAGACATGAGAGAAGAAATGATAAATACTCAGAGCCTTTAGTCTTTCAATAAAATGTCTACACTTTTCTTCCCAAAACCAGTTTAAGAAAGAACATTGTTTAGTAGGGCAGAGGACAAAGAGTGCTCTGAGCTGTAAGTGTAATATTGAGAAGTGATAGATCTAGACTTAGGAAATCCAGCCTTCAGAGAAGTAACCATCTCTTTGGGCAGCCAAACCCCACTCCCCTAGGATGGTGGGGGTGGGGGGGGAATTGGCGGCCTGGTTAAATCATACAGCATTGCTTCCCACTGGCATTTCTCAACATAAAATCTAGTTAAATGAAGACAGCCAAGAGGGGAAAATATGCCTTTAGGAGACAAAAGGAAAAGGAAATTAATTGTGCCATCACCTACTTGTTCTTTCCTTTTTACTCCTCAACCCACTACTTCCTAAAAAACAAACAAACAAACAAAAAACCTATTAGTTAGAAACATGGGTAACTCACCTCAGATGATCTTTAGCACTAACTATTAAAACCACCTGTCTTTTCTGCCACTAGCCATATCCCTACAGGTTCAATCATTTAGTCCCCAAAGCAGCTTCAGGCCATTACACAAAGTCCCAGTTACTGGGTTATTAACTTGATTACCACTCCATACAGGATGACTACGGAATCGGGCTTCATGGACACCTATAATGACTGACAGAGCATCCTGGCTAACAAAACAACATACTGTTTGCTAGTTCTTTGTATGACACTCTGAAAAGTGAATCCAGGCACTTTTGTGTAATAATTACCTCTGATACTGGAGTCATAAAAAAGAAATTCATCCTACCCTTCTTTTTCCAGATGAGAAAGAATGTACCAGCATCTCCTATAAACTTATTATCCAAATCTTATTTGAATGAGAGACACAGAGTCTGAGAATTGCAAGAGAACTCATAAACCAATTAGTTCAACCACATATGAATAAGAATCTTTTCAACATTTTGCCCAACAAATAGTTATCCAACTTTTGCTAGAAAACCTCCAGAGAGAGAGAGAGAACCCACTAATGTTTGAGGCAGTCCATTTGTGGGCTACTTAAAAAAATCCAGTCTGCAACAAAAGGCAACTGAGGCAGAGCTCTGAGTAGGTATTAATTTATTAGGGAGACCAGTGGTCCCTAATCAATTGGATCCAAGACTTTTCCTTTGCAGTCAAGGATCCCTCTCCTTGAGGGCTGCTTGCATTTATAGAGAATGAGTGAATACTAAAAATAGAATGAGGTGGTATAACCCATGATTAGTATATTCCAGAAATGGGGGAAACTATAATTGGCCAAAGGACATGTCCATCAGTCACTAGCATTTGGCCAATGTTTAGTCACCAGAGCTCTGGGACTTTCCATAAACAGTTACGAATATTTTTTGGAACATAGCTCTCATAGTACATTCATAGGGTAGGACAAGAATAATGCACAAGTTAACATAAATCTTTATAATAGGCCTAACTAATACAAGTATAAATCTATCCTATATCAATTAAAAGCAATAAAAACATCAATACATAGTGGGTTAATTAATCTTACATAACTCCTAAGAGTGTTAACTAAATTAAACTCAGTTCTATCCTACCTACCTAACATACTGATACTTATTAAATCACAATGAACTGAGTAAATACTGATTAAATTGAGTAGCGATATCAAAATTATTCTCACACATTCCACTTTTGGATAAATCTAATTTTAGGAAGATCTTCCTTATTTGAAACCTAACTTTAGTAAGTATAAAATAAGGCAGGGTTTAAACAACAGTTTGCCTAAAAAAGGTCTGGGGCTGCCATTGACTACAAATTCACTATGAGTTTGATATGGCAATCAAAGAAGCAAAAATGATTTTAGGAAATTGAGAGACATAGCCTCTGGCAATAGGGAAGTGATAGTTTTTCTGGACTCCACACTTAAATTTAATCTGCAGTAACATTTTCTCCATCACGTTTTTAAGTCGAGACAATCAACAAAGCCCTGATTTATAGTGTTTTGCCAATTTGAGGTATAAATGATCACACTGAAAATTTAACTGTACACTTAATTTGAGTGGAGCTCATTTGAGCTGGCTCCAATACACCCCTACTTCCAACTATTCTGAGTCTATGAATGGAGCTACCACTTTAAGGCTTTTAGGATGAGACCACAAGGTGGCTGATTTCCAACTGGCCTTGTGTATCTTCTAATAAACACCTGTAGCTTTTATATCATTAATCTCTTACATATGTCATTCCTGACACCTTTGTAATTTGAACCCAAGTATTGATTGGTTTGTCCATCAAGCTACTACAGATCTGTAAAGAAAGGGAATACCTATCCCATTACTGAAATGTATCACTTCTTAACAAATAACAAACACACTCTCACACACACACACACACACACACACTCACACAATATGCCAGGTACTATGCAACAAAAAATGTGAGCTGGTAAATCTACAATAAAATCCTTTCTCTAGGCTTCTACTCCCTGAATCCCAGGGCATATTTTAACGTGTGTATTTGGCTTTCTTGGGCAGAGGGTAAAAGATTGGGAATCACCCTGCAGTAGCTGTAAAATCTATGACATAGGTCAGAAACTGATTTCACTTTCATTTTTTAAAAAATTCTTTTATCTTCAGCAACCCAGGCAAATTTAAACAGTCTGGTTCAGGTGGCAAATGATTCAAATGTTTTGTAAAGGACTTCCTCCTGAGCAACTCTGCCAGCCAAGCAGTGAAACAGGTTTCCATATTTTTTGGTACCTCCTTTAGCTTTTATCATTTACCCTCTCTATTAAAATGCCTCACCAACTAGGCTGCTAACTGCCCACCCCACCTACCAGAGTGATTTTGGATTGGTTCGCCTTGTTCTATCTTCCCAATACAAGTAGAGACAGTGTGATGTATTGGAAAGAAGTTAGAGTATCAAGGTTTAGATCTAGGCTCTTCTGCTAACTACCAATGTGACACTTGGCAAATCATTTACTCTCTGAGCCTCCGTTATTCATCTATAAAATAAGGAGACTGAACTAGAGTTATTCAATTCCATAAGCATTTCCTATACCTACTATAGGCAAGATATTCTGATACAAGGTTCTGGGTTACAAAAACAAAAAGAAAAATCCTGTCCTCAAGGAAATGATATTCTGCTGGGAAGATAGCACATACAATTAAATACAAAGTAAGTTCAGGAGGAAGAGCATTTACAAGTAGGAGTTTAGGTTTCACCTTAGAGAAAGCACCAAAGCTGAGCTTTGAAGAAAACTAGAGATTCAAAGAAGGGAAAGAAATACATTCCATGCATAGGGGCTAGATAGCCTGTTCAAAGGCATAAGCACAAAAGATGATATGTTGAATTCAGGGAACTAGATCATTTTGGTTGGAACATAGACTGTGTCAAGGAAAGTAACATGAAAGGCAGATGAGAGACCTGTGAGGTTTTAAATGCTAGGCTGAGGAGTTTGTGGCTTATTCTAGAGGCAATAGGAAGCCATGGAAGATTGTTGAGCAAGGAAGTAGCATGATCAGATCTATGCTTTTAAAAGATTATTTAACAGCTTTATATAGGATTGCTTGATTGGAGAAGGGAGAAACTAGAAGCTGATTAGGTCACTATTGCAATAGTCCAGATAAGAAGTGGTGAGGTTTTGAAAAAGATTTTGAAAGAATTGATTATGCTTGGCAACTGACTGAATGTAGGTAATGAAGTAAAGTGAAAAATATAGGATGACATTAAGATTGTAAACCTAGATGGCTGGAAGGATGGTGACACCTTCAACAGAAATAAAAGTTTGGAGCTTGCAGGTTTAGGGGAAAACATGAGGTCCATTTTAGACAGATACTTCGAGTTTGAAGTAACTACAAGACATCCAGATGGAGATTTCCCATGAGACCTGGAACTCAAAATAGATGGAAAGAAATGGGATGGGGGAGGGGGAAAGAAAAGAGAGATTTGGGAATCATCTGCAGAGATGATAATTGAACCCACAGGAATTAAGGGTCACCCAGTGATGGGGTATAAAGAGAGAAGAGATGAAAATAAAGACCCAGGACAGAATCTTGGGGAACACCCATAGTTAGGAGGTGGAAGAGGTAAAGGAACATGGAAGATGAGCCAGTACAGAAGACAGAGAAAGATCAGAAAGACACTAAGAGAACCGGGAGACAGCAATGTCACAGAAGCTGAAGAAAGAGAGAGTATCCCAAAGGAGGGAGTGGTTAATTGTGTCAAAAGCTAAAGAGAGGTCAAAAAGAATAACAATAGAGAAAATGCCATAAGATTTAGCAATTTAGGAATTGTCAATAATCTTTGAGAACTGTTTCAGTCGGTGGGGCTAGAAGCCAGAGATGAAGACATGGAAGTAATGAGCTTAGATGGCTTATTCTTAGGAGTTTGGCAGTGAAAACAAGGAGAGATAGAGAATAACTTTCAAGTGAAAGCTTTTCAAATATTGGGGAGACCTGTGTTTTTCTTAGATCATCTCATCTTGTTTTAATACTTCAGGGAAATAACCAGTAAAGGAGAGAATAAAGATGACTGAAAAGTGATGATCAAAAGGGCAAGTCCATGGAAGAGTTGAGAGGGGATAGGATGAACAGGAGTAGAAAGGTTGACCTTGGCAAGAATGGCCACTTCTTCAGAGTCCAGAGCAAAGGAGGAGAAAATGGGAAGTAATGTGCAAGGTCTATAAGATATAGAATAGGGGAAAGGAGGAGGTTATGATAGTCTCTATTTTCTCAGTAGAGTAGGTTCTCTGCTAAGAAGGTAGGAGTCAAGGGTGATTTAGGGGACTTGAGATTAGAAAGTTTGGAATATCCACTGTAGGAAATAAGATACAGAATCATTTAGGGAAACCTAAA